GACATTTTACATCTCTACTTATGACTGAGTAAGAGTCCTTTCTCAAAATCAAGAAGGCACAAACAGTTCAAAATATTTGGGTCTATGATTAAACACTTAAATGCAAGGTGGTAAAAGTGGGAATAGATGCGGGATGGGCGGGGTATAAATATAATAAATAAATAAATAAATAAATAAATAAAATTGGTTAGGTAGACACATGCAAGCAGAAGACTGCAGCTGCATCCTGAAAATGAAAGACATCTTGGCAAAAACCCTGAGAAGCTCTGAAAAGGCAAAATGTGGAGGGCTGGTTGAATAGCAAGGGAGAGAAATTCTATATATTCATTTTCAATGCCTTGCGTGCATCTTCCTTCATAGCTGTATGACTGCTAAGAGGCAGGGTTTCCAATGTTTCCATGTTTAACTCTTTATCAAATATGGGTGTGGTTTTTGCTGTGTATTTTATTTTGATGTTGCAGCTTGTTCAATCCCTAAGATGACTTTAGAAGACCAGCTTGGAGTAAGTACTGGGAAATACAGGCAGAAATTGGCACTATGGTTGTATCCAACTGCAATTGCATGTAATTAACTACATTGACTGGAAGGACTCCAAATGTGTGCAACACAGCACACGACTGCATCCTTAAGAAAGCTAGCATTTGTTTAAGATCTGGAGATAGTGGTATCACAAGATTCACCAATACTGGACATTATTAACTAAACAGCAGCCACAATATTAGAACTCTTAAATCCTTTTTGGTTAAAAGGCTAGGGTAGTAAGAGCAACAGAACAATCCTAACAGTCTATTTCAAAAAGACAAGTTATCCAAGTAACATGCACAAAGGATGTTTTTATACTATGCACTGAATTGTATTTGTAGCATTGTAGCAATGTTTGTCATGAGACCAAAGAAATTGTAAGATGTTGATGCTAAGTCTGTAGATGAAAATAATGACGACTGAAGTTTGTTTCCTGCTCCTTACCAGTAACACACTGGATCAGGATATGAACAATGACCTAATCAATTTAACTTCAGGCAGGTAGATTATATAGTAAAAACTTTGTTTTCTGGCATCACCTAGAGGGAAAGCTTCTCCCACTCAAACACCATACCCCTTCCATTCCCACCACTCCAACTAAACTTGATGCCTCCAGCCATTGTTGGGCTTCTCTGACACACAGTGTAGCCAAGTGGTGTCATCCTTGGATGTCTCCCATCTCCCTCAGCCTGTTTTAAGCTGTTGGGAGTCAGTTTTAGCAGAGGACTTTTGGGCATCTGGTCTGCTTGCCTGTCTGCTGCATAGGATGGCTCTGTGACTCAGGGAAACCAGGCATGGGGGCTGTTGCACGGCATTCCCAGTAGGGCTGGGTTTGGTTGCTGTAGATTCCCCAGATAGGATGCTAGGCATAGCAATAAGCTTGAGTATCTGTCATTTAACAGGCATAGGCAGGCAAGCCAGACACAAAGTCCAGAGTTCAGTCCCAGAAGTCCACAAGCCAAAAGTCCACAAGCCAGAGGGTCATTACCAGAAGAGGTGAAGCAGAGAGCATAATCAAGAGGTCCAAGTGTCATCCACAGAGTCACAAAGTCAAAGATCCAAGCCAGTCCAAGCAAAGTCAGGACTTGTGGTCACAGAGTCCAACAGAATGACTTGTTGCTTCGACAACATGCAGGATCCCAGCACTGGGTTTTATAGGTACTTCCTAACAAGCCCTTGTTAGCAGCCAACTGCTTAGGAGTACTGCTGCAACTACTCCAGGCTGTCATCAGCAAGCAGCTGGCAATGGGCCAGGAGACGTGCACTCTGCCTTCTTGCTTGCAGCTCTCTTATAAGTTTCTGTCTCTGGCACTCTAAGGGTGGAGGGGAGCCTGGTGGTCTGGTCTTAATGACTTGAGTCTCACCTGCTGCATCAGACCTGGGTGGTGGCTCTGGATCAGCTGTTGGTCAGTCTTGGTCAGCCTGCAGCTCATCAGCCTGTTTGCTGGCTTCTGCCGACTCAGAGCCAGCCATGCATGGCTCTCCTTCTCCTGAGGACTTCATGCTGAGCTCAGGCTGACTCACAATAGTATCTAGCAAATCTGATCAACCAGCAGCCCTTATTCCCCATGAGTGCTGGATAACAAAGCTTTTACTATATTGATAGTTACCTGTCCATAGCATGAGCTGGATCCAAAGGACCATAAGAAATGCATGGTTTGTAGGATGGCTATCCCCTCCCCCCACAGCTGTAGCTCACTGCACTCTTAGGAGGCTGAAAAATCTACAGTGAGAAGGAACTGGCAAAAACTGTGCTCTTCTCTTCTGTGGGTGGAAGGCATCTTTGGATGCAACTCCATGTTTTTATCAGATTGGATCACTAGCCTATTTCTGTACTTAAAGCCAGTACCTATCAAAATTAACCATTAAAAGTGTTCAGTTCAAAGTTGCCAATTTGAAACATTGTTCAAAATGTTGGATGCATGGCTTCTGAAATGTACTGCAACAACTTTATAAAAGGGAAAAATTGTGAAAGTCATTTACCAAGCCAAACAGCTAGATAACGAATGTGAAGTTCTCAAAACATTACTGCTAACCTTACAAGGTTTATGAAACTTTTTTCTGAATTAGTAACAAATTTGCAGTGTGCATGTAGTGAGCAGATAGATGTTGTTCCATTCTCTATCTGGTTTTCAACAAAAAATGGGTGCTCGATAAGGCTGTCATCCAATTAAGAGGAATTATTTATATGAGTTTTTAATATTAAAAACTGTATACAACTAAAACAATACTTGTGAAAGAACACAGTATTTGTAGATAAGATGTTGTAAAAGAGAGCACTTTAGAATAAGCATCCCTCCCTAGAAGAGCAGGGAATGCTTCTTTGACATTGACAGCTATAGCCTATAGTTTTTAAGTACTTACTTTACATATCTGTGTGTTGTTGTTGTTTTAGAAAAGTTAACGTTACCCAATGATTAGAGGCGCTTTTGTGGTCAACTGAAATAAATTCAGTTAAGTTACAGAGATTCAATAACACTTACACAATTCCATTCACAACTAGCACTGAGAAAAAGGCTTTAGGGAAGAACTGTAAAAGTCAGATCTACATACAAGTAAGAAAATTATAACTACTTAGTTTTATGGCTCAGACAGAAAAAGTTCAGTCCCACTACGTGCTCTGAGACCCTTTTGGGGCATTAAGTGGAATATAAATACATGAAGTAAAAGTGCATGGGAAAATTATTATCTCTAAATTGTCCTCTGCTTTATTCATATAAGCCTACAGGATAATATTCAGAAGTTCTACTCACTTCTCCCTGGAGAAAGCTGTATATGGTTACAATTGCTTCCCTTGAGATATGCTGTTTATCTTTTGTTCAGGTAGGAAGGGACACTGATAAAATGGTAGAATGTTTGTTTTGCTACCAAGAATCACCAATGCAGCTTTTTAAACCAGAAAAGGCTGGGTATGCTTGACCAAGTAATTAATGCTGCTATTTTATTATCTTATTAAAACTTCCAACAGGTGATAAAACATGCACAAAGGAGTAATTTAAAGAAAACTCCAGAGCTCTGGACGGTATATTTCCATTCCTCATGTCATACTGTATACCAGTCCAGTTCACAGGCAGTGTTGCGGGGGGGGGGGGGGGCATGAGCAACTACAAAAGGAGGGAGGAGAGCTAAAAGACCCCCAGATGTATAGAGACTCTGTACATGTAGCCTCCAGATCCTGGCCCTTGATCATACTCTCCAATCTCTAATTCTTTTAAAAAGTAATAACTGCCACCAGTTTTATAACCCCCATACTGGGGACAACAAAACAACAATAGTAGTACAATTACTGAGATGTCATTTCTTCTGCAAAAGTTTCAATCTCTGGGTTTAAATATCACATTTTTTTCATTAAACAACTGTGATATCTACATGTCTTCAAACAAAACCTTAGCTCAGTTCATAGTTTTTCATTTTTTTAAATGCAGCTATATTAGTAGGAAGCAATTAGATCTTGAGCGTGACTATTCTGGCCACCTCAGTTATTTTGAAATTGCTGTCCAGTAGGTTTTCATATAGTACAAAAGTGATTTCAGTGAACTGCAATTAGCAAACTTGTCAATTTAAATGGCTCATACAGAAATACACTCATTTTCCCCAGGGGCAACTTTCCTTTTAAGAACACTCAAGCGTTTTTTAAAAACCTCATGCCTTTATCTCGAAGTATTTTAGGGTAAGACTCATTAACAAAAAAGCTACTTGCCAAATCTTGTAGTAAAGCACACCATAAAAAGGAGCTCATATCCCAGTATTTGCAGCAATGCTATCATATTTTGTTTCTACCACCTCTAGATGCAGGTGTGACTCATAAGGCTCACCAGTGATCTTTAAGCATGTGATTTTCTTACAGAAATATTACAATAAGTTCAGCCTGGTAATCTTTTCCCCTTAGAAACAAATCAGATCAAAGGATGCCTTCTATTTTACTTTCTATTTATAGCACTATTTTGAGCCTGCATTACAGAAGGGGAAAAAAAAGAATCTACAAATTCAACTATTCCTAAACTCATTCTAATGCGCCCAAGAATCCTAGCAAGTTGGAACACCTGGAGTTCAAGCCTTACAATACTCACAAAACTGCAGCAGCTCCATCCCTTTATCTGCCAAGTCTGTCCCAATTATACAGTGTTGGTGAGGACATCCACTTTCTGCAGCAAAGGGGCACACTGATAGGAAGTGTTAAGCCCACTAACTAATCTAGCATTTACCTTTTCACATCTCTCAAAGTTACTTGTCTCTCCCTCAGAGTCTCATATAAGAATTGAGGCTGACTGATAGAAAAGCAATTGCATAGAATAGGGTAGGTGGGCAGGTATCTGGGGGGAAGGTCAAGATCCCTTCACCAAGTGCCCCTTTTGCACTTTAAAAAATAGAGTCACTCCACTAAATGCACTTATAAACAAGTCTGTCACTATCACGTCTAGTTTACCCCTGAATAATCTTAGTATGGTAAATGTAAGACTAAACTCTAGGAAGATCAGGTAGCCGCTGAGAACATACAAGGCTGTAATTTACCCTGAGGAAGAGCTGAGCCACAAGTGGTTCAATTTCAGATGAAATGCAACAGTACTATATTAATACTGCAAGCAGAATTATGGTCTAAATACCTGATGGTTCCTGTGGGAGAAGGTAGAGGGCTGATCAGGTGAGCCATGTTGTCCGGAATGTTTATTGTTAGAGGAGAGATCTGGGGTTGCACAGGTTTCACTGGGGACTGTGGGGACTCCTGTTTTTCTCTTTTTTCATTGGATAAAGCTGTAAATGTTATCTTGATGTTTGTGCTGGGAAACCTGAATGTACACCTGGAAAAAAATGCACACATTAAATGGAAGGGCATGCAATGATATTTGTATAATTTTATAAACTGCTTTATCATAATCAAAAGTGAACCAAATTTTAAGTATGATCTGCAATTGTCATGACGCACATGACCATTTACATTTCCATTAAGACAAAAATCAAGAATCATTGCACTACCACAGCAGTGACAAAATTCCATGAAGGTCTATGGTACCATGCACATAACCTATAAATAATCTATACAAAATCCATTTATATTAATGACTACAACCCACCCATCAGTTTTTTGAAGATTACCTCAATCTCAAAAACTGACTTCAAACTAAACAATTTTTTATAAAATATCCAGTTTGGCAATATCCAACCACCAAGTACAGTATCTGTGGTAACAAGAAAGAGCAATAGCTGAATGACCGAGAAAAACAAGACAAGTTGCCCAGAAAAGTCTACTCTTTAATTCCTGCCACTTTGCAACATTTACAGTTTCCAAGGAAGCAAACTTAACAATTCTACATTAACCATTAATGAATCACATGCTGTTCATGTACGCAAATAAACACATACTGATAGGAGTATCTCTAAAAGTATATCTGAATTTACAAGAAAGGGCAGCCAAGATAAGATGATCAAGGGATTGAATAATTTCCTGACAGCCCTGCAGCCAGAAATTTTGGGTTGGTGAGGCAGCAGGGGAGGGGGAGGACAGAGGATGGCTACACACCTTTCCTGAACTCCAAACAGTGATTTCGCTGCTTTGAGTTCAGGCATGGTTAGCCCCCACTTGAAAAACACCATTTAAAGGGAACCTGCAAGGGAAAGAAGCAGCCGCACGCAGCTCCCACTTGAAAACCCCCATTTAAAGGGTTGCTGCAAGATTTAAAAGGCCCTCCAGCTTATCGACGGGCCATGTGCTCCTGTCAATCAGCTGGAGGGCCCTTTATATGTCACGGGAGGGGGAAGGGAGGGGGGAGAAGGGCAGCAGCTGTTGTGGGGCATGTCCAACATTTGAGGGGGCGGAGCCCTGAAATGCCCCATTGTAGCTACGGGACTGCTTCTTGACACAAAAAAAAGTCTACAACATTAGGAACTTTCTGGAAGAAGAAAGATAGCTCAAGCAGGACAATGCAAAGAAATCTGTCTCCTAGAACTCAAGATCACCCAATGAAGGTGATGGGCGGTACATTCAAGACAGACCAAATGAAATGTTTATTCACACAATGCAGAAACAATGTATGGACTTCACAACCATGGGTTATGGTGAAAGCCAATATGGTGATGCAGTTCTAAGCTTCCAAGTGGAACAAGCTCTCCACCTCACCCAACTCACAATCTAGAGGCGGATTTAAGATCACAAAACTGGAAGATCAGGACTTTAGAGCCTTCAAGAATTCCAGACCTGTTTGGCAATGTCACTTGGCAATATGCATACAAAACTCTTGTTGGAAAGCCTGGAAAAAGGGCTCTTTGTGCTTCTCCTCAACCCCAACCCCCCAAAGCAGCACTACAGGGTATTTATCCTCCAGTCTTCCCACACTACTCACTGTTATCCAGTCTGTCAACAGGTGTGCACCTAAATTCTCTTCATGCTACAGAGGTTCCATGGTAGCATGAGACAGACTGCATGCTCAGCCCTCATTCTGTCAGGGTTGGGGGGGCTCCCCATATTTTATGGGGAAGGGGGGGGAAGTCAGTATTTTTTCTGTATTCTGAGGAGGTTTCCCTCCTCTTTACTTATGGCTCCATTTTGGTGCCCTAATCATCAGCATGGGTCACCAATTTCAGTATTACACAGCATGATGCCTGAACAGAATCTCCAGGTTCAGGGGAAATATATATATATATGTGAATCCCAGAGGCTGGGAACAAACAACAGGAAAGGGTTGCTGCCTTCATGACTTACCTGTGTGAGCATACTAGAGTACGGATGGGCACGTACTGAACCACAAACGTAAACTCGTCACAAATTTAGCCCAGTTTGTGACCATCCCTATCCACGACCCTCCACATGGTATCGAGAGGTTCATGAAGCGGGGGGAGATTGAGAGGGATCAGTGAAATGGCTTGCATCTATTTCCCCACGTTTCAAAGCGTTCCCTTTAAATGGGTTTCGCAAGCAGGCACCATGCAGGAGTGGAGTCCAAGCGGTGAATTCACCAGTTCTGGGTAAATTCACTGCTTGGACTCCACTCCTGGGAGGCGCCTGCTGCCAAAATAGATATAAAAGGAACGTTCCCTTTAAATTGGTTTTGACAGTAGGCGCCACACAGGAGTGGAGTCCAGGCAGCAAATTCACTGCTTGGACTCCACTCCTACGCAGCACCCACTTGCAAAACCCTTTTAAAGGGAATGTTCCCTTTAAATGGGTTTGGAAGATCTCCCCCCGTCCTTCCATTCTGCTGGCATCGGGGACCAACTTCAAGCAGAAAGGAGGGAGGGAAGACCTTCCAGGAAGGGAGATCTTCCCCCCTTCCATTCTGCTGGCCTTGAGAAGCTGCCGTCAACAGAAAGGATGGGAGAAGATCCGTGAATAGGGTTCCCAAGTACCTACCTTCGATCCGGCGGGGGACACATGCTTTCCCATCGGAAGATTCTTGCTTGGAACACAGGCACTGCACTATTCCGTCACCCAGACGTGACGTAGGCACGTAGCTGGGCAACGCTCTGGTAATGGGACTGGAAACTCGATGGTAACATCAAGTTTCCAGCCCCATTGCTAGAGTGTTGCCTGGCTACGTGCCTATGTCAGGTCTGGGTGACGGAATACTGCAGCGCCTGTGTTTTCTCCTTAGGAATGGTCCCGCAAAGAACTATACATCTCCCGCCGAATTAAGGTAAGTACTTGGGAGCCCTGTCCATGAAGTTCACAAACCTGAACCAAGTTCACAAACCTGAACCAGTTCGCAAAGCGTGGGAGGTTTGTCCCAGTTTGTGAAACCTTACAAACCACAAACCTCCATTTTCCTAGTTCGTGCCCATCCCTATACTAGAGTACTTACTGATCACTATTAGAAGCAGAACGTTGGATTAGATGAACCTTCCGTCTCATCTTGAAAGGTAGTTTTTACATAGGCTGAAAACAAAACAGCCACTAGAGCTTCCCTAATCACTACAAATTTCATCCTCACACTTTTTCTTGACATAATATCTCTTAGTAGATGAGAAGGGCATGGTTTCCTATCCTGAAAAACAGAAAATGTTCTACATCTTACAACAGCACTACAGATAAGATTAGAATTTCAACAGCCGTTCCATATGCAAAAGAACCTCAAGAAAGCTCCTTCATTAGCATGTCACAGCCTGGGGAACTCCTACAAGATAATGACTCAGCCCTACCCCACCTTCCTGAGTAGATATAAATTACCTACCTACCTTTTTTCTTCTCACCTTGATACAGAAAGTACTCCACCTTTCTGTGTTATACCTCTGAGGATGCCAGTCACAGCTGCTGGCGAAACGTCAGATCCTACAATGCCAAGACCACAGCCATACAAGCCAGAAAATTGAAAAACAACTAATGAACTCTGGCCGTGAAAGCCATCAACAACATATAATATCAGTTCTTCCAAACATGCTATCCTACCACTTTAGCTTACATTATTTTTCAGCCTCCCTGAGCCTGCTTGCGGGGAGGGCAGGGTATAAATCGAATGAATAAAATAAATAAATTATTTAACTTAGATCAATTTTTCTATCAGCAAAATAAGAATCACTGGCTAACAGCAATTAGCACCAGCTTTAGCCCATTCTGGTAAACACACTGCACTCAGAAGTACAAATCCCACCATGCTTTTCAGCATTAAACCAGGTAAAATTTAAACCTCCACAACTACTACAGAAGAGAGCCTAAAGAAATCAAACACATCCTTGCACAGAGTAAAAGGAGCTGAAAGAAATCAGCCTGCACTCAACAGTTACTGTAGAAACCAAGCTCTTCACCATTTTCTCCAAGCAGATGACACAAAAGAGCTAGAAAACAGGAATTGATGGGAAGCAACTTATAAAGCTGCTTGTCACATCAGCTGCAGGAAACCCAGACATGAATTCATTAAAACTGCCCATGTAATGCTTCTGGAATTTGAGGCTCCATGGTCTGCAAGCACAAAAGAAACACTGCCTATGGAAACACTGCACTTTTTTAGGTATTTGGCATCTTTAAACACAAAGACTAAGCACAGGTCGTTGTGTGGTCCTTCTACAATTTCATCTTCAATTTTAAGTAAATGTATTAATATGATTTGTTTGTAAGAAGGCTCCAAGTCTACACTTGTTCCAGATTTACAAATGGCTGTTTCAGCAACTTAGCAACTATTTTACGTCTGTGTAATACAATAGTTTCTTCTAAAATCAAACCAATTTTCCTCTTTCACTTTAGGCTTTCCTGCTGTTAAATTAGTTTAGTCTATAAAAAAAGTTTTTTCTACAAAGTTTTTTGTGCACTGTGAGTTGGAATCATAGGTCCCCTTGAATGAGCAGTGGAAGGGGAGGTTTCACAGACTTTTCACTTAGTCTTCCAAAATCCATCCCATTGTATTCCTTAGGGTCACAACTAGGGGTGTGCATTCAGCTATAGCTGAACCGAAAAAATACCTGAAAAACACCTTGTCGGTATTTTTCGGGTATCACATAAGCCGAATACAGATCACAGTTCTGTATTCGGCCACCGGTATAGCTGAACCCAAAAAAGCCATAATTATCCGGCTTTTTGGGGGTTTATTTTGCTATACGAAAAAGGTCTCATTAAACCTAACACCTGGCTCAGCCATCAGTCAACTGTTGGGTTTAAATGCCTTTCTTTCCCTCCCTGATGTCAGAGAGGGAAAGAAAGGCATTGTAAACACGCCTGCTTCCCTTCCCGATCTTCTCCAGGCACCCCGTGGCTATTGCGAAGAAGCCCGGGGGAGGAGGCCATGTTTAAATGCCTTTCTTTCCCTCCCTGATGTCAGAGAGGGAAAGAAAGGCATTGTAAACACGCCTGCTTCCCTTCCCGATCTTCTCCAGGCAC